TGAATACAACTGGAGAAATGAACAAACATAGACAAGCACGTTGCAAAATCAGTAAGGGGGAAAAGGCAACAAGAGTACCATGAAAGGATATTGTTGGGCAATATAACTATTAGGATATATTAGCAAGTACTTTTAACTTCTGTTGAGACATTTATCTCTACAATTTAATCTAATTAGATTTTTTCCGTTCAAAGCTGGTGGCGAAAGCGAAATCTAGACGAACATTTACTAAAAGAATCCGCGTAACCTCAAGATATAGGATAGGGTTTTACCAATCTATGTTGCAAGCCTACAAGAAGTTTATAGTGACCATATATGGAATAATTTTTACTTCCCAAAATGCACCAAAAAAAGTAACATTGAGTGCATATTTTAAGTTAGTATTCGGTAACCTATGACCTCCAGCTTCATCTTTGGAAACAAGCTTTAATTGTACCAATCCCTAAAAAGCTTAAGCCCGCTGAACAACGACCTAAGACATATCATTTTGCTACCAATTTTGTCTAAAATATTGTAAAAACTGGTAGAATTGCAACTAACCTCTTGTCTTGAAAAACACTGAATAATTCTTGATACCCAATCTGTGGCTTTAGACAAAATCATAGAACAGAATCCGTGCTTCTCAATTGGCAAGGTAAAATTTTAGGAGCCTTAGATAAGAAAATCGCATCAACGTTAATATCTACAGATTTCTCTATAGCTTTTGACAGCATTAAACATGAATTACTGATATCTAAAATAAATTACATAGGTATTGATAGCTTAGCTCTTTTATTTTTCAGAAGTTATCTTGATCAAAGGACTCAATGTGTTTGCATTATTCGAACATTTTCTCATGTAATACAATTCCTTCATGGGTGCCTCAAGGCGCTGTGTTAGGACCGTTATTATTTCTGATATACACCTTTGACTTGAACAAAATTCCTGATAATTCAAATGTCCAAACTTTCGCAGAAGATACACTATTCTAATCTCCAGAATTTCGAAAGCTTTACAAAATGATGTTAATAATTTAGACTCTGATCATAATCTGGCTGTCAACCCTCAAAAACCTAAATTATTTTATGCCCAAGAAAAGAAGGATGATTTAACGTCACTCTGGAAGGTCCAAATAAGTAATCAAAACTTACAGTTTTCTGAATCATCAAAAATTACTGGTGTTGTTCATGACACAAAATTAAGATTTATCTAAAATGTCATAAGCCTCGTACTCTAATTGCAAACAAATATCTAGTAGTTTTCTAGTTACGTAAAAAATTATGAGAGTCCTTGGTCATATCTGATACTGATACTGTAATATTGTATACTATCCATGTTAAGACAGCTATCGCAAACACCTAATTCAAAGCATCCAAAATAATTGTGTTCGTTTTACTTTTGGTCTCCGGAAATTTCATCATATAACAGCAAAATATCCAATACTCAGTTGGTTGAAAATAAATGATTTGATGCAATATCACTACTCACTTTTAATCCATTAATTATTACTTACTTATAAACTGCCCTACTTGAGAAAAAAATGCATTTACCAATGATGTTCATTCTAGACCACTTAAAGATTAAACTATCCGGATACCTTGTTTACAATTTACATAAACAGCATTCTAACCTCTTCGTCAGTTGGTCAAGTGTTTAGCTTTACAGATGATACGGCAGTCCTGTATGATGATAATACTTGGGAAAATGTAAAAATTAAAGCAGAGCGGGATGTAGGAACTATTTTTGATTATTTTGCTCATAAACTTTTAACCGTGAGCTATGAAAAAACATTCTTTATGCCTTTTTCTAATACAGTACGTTGCCTACCTCAGTATGAACAACTTTTAATAAATCAAATTATATCTTTAACATCTGTGAAAACCTATAAATACTTAGGTGTCACCATTGATCGCCAGTTGAGATGGAATGTTCATATAGCTAACATTACAAACACCTTACGACAACTCTTATATCGCTTTAAATACTTAAAACATCTCATAGACTACATGCACCTGAAAATGTTGTATTATTCATTAGTTGAATCACGTCTACGGTACGTCATTTTAAGTTGGGCAAGTGCCGTATATTGTCATTTGCATCCTCTGGCTATATTGTAAAAAAGAATGTTGAAAGTAATATCTGGCAAAAAAATTACTTATCCTTCTGATAAATTATTTTCAGAGACTGGAGTGTTAGACCTAAGGCAACTTGTTTCTGCATGAATTAATTCAGTTCATATACAAATACAAAAACAACTTCAATAAAACTAGCCATGCATATAGTACTAGATATAAAGAAAATGAAAACTTAAAAATACAAACTTTTCAAAGAAATGTAAGCTTGCGATGCCACACCTATCTATCATGTAAAATTTATAATTGTTTGCCATACATGTACCGTATGTATGTTGATAAAATAAACTCATTGTCTTTGATAAAATCTTTGTTTAAAAAATATATTTCTTTAATTGGTAGACAAGAGACACGAAATCTAGTATAAATTATGTACTAGAAATCGTACTACGCTAGTATTACTCCTCTTCACCCTCCATATTTCTGTAGTTAGTGGAGTAAACTTTATTATATAAGTGCTACTCCTCCTTACGTTCCCTACTTACAATGTGCTTATTGTATAAAATCCTGCTCTAAGCAGAATTTATCAAAATTATATAAAAAAAAAATCTGCCCGTGCACAGCCCACTATTTTGGTTTCAATGAGCTTTACAAGAAAATTTTTAAAATTTTCTGTGACTTATAAAACATGTTTACTTAAGATTATTTTGTGGAAGTCAGGTATTATGTTTTATTTTACGTTTATTATTGTACTGAAGTTAGCATTTGTATTTATTAACATATTGTATTTTGGGGGAAAATAAACGTATACTACTACTACTACTACTACCTCAGTAATCAGCAACACTACCTCAACGCACTTTCTCCTACAATGCTGCCACCATATATAATCCTTTATCAAAATAGTATAAGCAATAATCATTACCAGCTTGTCGATAAAATTTATCATTACTTCAATGACTTGATTACACAATCATACTTCTTTTACTTTCCTAACCAGTTTTGTTACTTTTCTTTGTATTTGGTGTATTTGCTTTGGAAGGTATTCTCGCTTTATTGTAACAATTTGATTAAAATTTTGTTGGGAATGATATTTCATGAAGCTTTTAGTGCATAGAAGATAAAACACTACAGAGAACAATGGTAACTAGGCGACATGACAACAGACTCGTGACAGAAAAGATGTCCAAGCATGAAGACTAGAGACACGGTAAAATTCATGGACTGGGGGTGAAATTAAAAATGTCGACGATAAAGTGAGTTGGTACACTGCGCAATAAATGAATTTTAGGTTCTGCGCATGTGGCATATCTCTCTGTTGCTGTCATCATGAGCGTAAACAGCTCCAATTTTTACAGCTCGGACGAGTTGCAAGCAGAATTTTTGGATGGTACTGATAAGCTACGTAGTAATACAAACAATACATGGCAAAAGCTCAGTGAAATTCACATAAAGATTGCGGCACGTCAGAGTGACATTTGAATAGACGCAGTTTAACCTCCTACCTCTGGTCTTTCTGTGTTTAAAATATGTAATAAAACGTTTAATCGTTGCAAACAGAGGGAAGAGCCAGACCCGTCCAATATTTTCTTGTCCATGAAATCACATGAAAAAATTGAACGCAACATAAGATGATTTAGTCTTAGACAGTGATGATTGTCAAAGAAAATAAAAGTTGATTGACCCGTTTCCGAGTGAAGGTGCGTGCGACGCCTTCCGCCGCTTCTCTTTCAACGTCGCGGCGCGTGATTACGCCGCCTCCTCACGTGTTCCCCTAGGTTAGGGATTTCGATCTTTTTCAGCGAGCGACGGTAAAAGCTGGCAGGCGTCGAGGCGGCGACCGAGAACCACGTTTCATGTTCAACGGCGCGGCGCACGACTGTGGCGGCGGCGTCTTCCGAACAGCTGACGCCTGATTCCCTGCCGCTCAGACACACTTTTGCTTCCTGCTGCTTTGCTACATTCCTTTTATTCACTACGCTTATAGGCAGGGCAGTTTTGACATCGTTTGATATTTCAACTTCTTCACTTTGTAAAAAGGTTTCTTGCTGGATCAGGCTAGTCGTTAAAAAATGTCCGATCAATAGATAATTTTTCCTATAATCCATTTTTTATAATCGATTTTCTTCATATTTCGATTTCCTATGCATCGATTATATAAATTACCAATACCGATTGTTGTTTACTAACAACTTTATAAAAGATGACGCTATCTGTGTGTGAGTATTAGGGATGCATCGAGTAGTACCTTTTTTTAAATTCCACCTGCCGAATACTCGCTCAGATTAGAATACCAAGTAACAGATACAGTTTCGAGTACTCGGTTGGATACTCGGTTGAGTTGCCTCTGGGTTACTTTATTTACTGCTAGTGTTCAGTGGTGTCGCGTGACTTCTCCTACACTGTTACAAAGACCAGATGTGAAAAATCTTATTAAAAAAAGTTTATTTTGAACCTCCCTAATATAAGTTTTCACTTATTTTAGGTATTTTCTCAGACTAAAAATATAAATAGACAAATAATTCCCTACAAAATATCGTCGTCAACATAACTGTATTTACGGTAAACAAATATATGCGACGCTGCCACTTCTCCAGACTGAAAAATCTATTGAAAATGGAATGAGATATTGGTGTGCACTCCGCCCGAAATGAAGGTGGACTTAAATAAGGTGTGTACGCTCCGGTCGATCGTGGGTCGATCAAACACCAGCTCCTAGGCAGTTGTCAACGTCATTTTAAATTTTAAAAATTTATTTTTTCTTTTCGTGTTTGTTTATACTCGCAAAAACGGTCACAGAGGTGGCCGACACGCCATAAATTCAATTCAAAACGGATGCAAGTTCATGTTGGGTAATTCATAGCGAACATTACATATAATATTTTGCCCAGTCAGTTGTTTGACTGAATTTGTTCCACCTTGGACGAAACTTGCTCTCATTCGAAAGTAGCACATTTCTACCGACTTTTTGCCGAACGTGGCAACGGTGTTCAACGGCAAGTGGTGGATGCGTACACAGAATTTACAAACATCTGGTGTTTGTTATTGTGCACAGTGAATTTGTTGCGAGTATTCAAAAATGTTTTCAGGTTGTTTTAGCGGCAATTATAGCATTGTTATCATTGATAGACAATTTTCAAAGACAATGGGACGTCGGAAGTGCATTCTTTGTGGAGTTAGCAGTGAAAAAAATGAGGCAACCTTCCACAGGTGAGTTAGAGGTTAGAGGAGGACAAGGGCGTAGCGCACGGGGATGCGTTGTGATTTTTAGTATTAAGAAATAGACATTTTATAGTTATTGGTTGTTTTTACACTGTATGTGTGGTGATTTTCAAAAAATACTCTTCTGTTAGACTCGTTTTTGATCTTTCAGGTTTCCTAGTGATAAGAAAAAACAAGAAGAATCTCCAGTGGGTGAATGAAAAGATGTAAGTTAAACTTGGCGTCCAGACTTTGAGCAAGAGTGTTGCAGAAGCATTGGACTTTTTGAACAAAGATCTGGCTATGGCTGACTTCAAGGATTCAGAAGCTACAGGATATTTTTGTAGAACAGTAAACAATTTATTTGATGTTTTTAATTCAAGGAATTGGATGTCAAAAAAACCTTATGAGAAACCGTTGTCACCTGCTACTGAACAATATTTCAATTTCTTAGAAGAAGGATTATTTGAAATCGTTAAAATTAGGAGACACTAGAGTTATACTTTCTAGAAGAAAATTAGGATTTTTGGGATTCATAATTTCAATAAACAGTCTGAATATAGAGTCAAAGAAACCAAAGAGCTGTACCTTCTCACATATAAGTTATCTCAAGATCATTTGGAAATTTTCTTCAGTTGTATAAGAAGCAAAGGAGGATACAGCAATAGTCCTACCTCGAAGCAGATTCAGAATATTTTAAAAAAATTATTACTTCATACTGAAATAACTGGCAATGAAGCATCCAATGTCGTGGCATTAGATAGTACATCCATCATCTTTAGAGATCAAAATTAGTGAGGATATGACCTCATCATCAAACAGTATAGAGGAAGATGAAGATTTTATACAATTGAAAAACTTTCTTCGAATAAGTCCTTGGTAGCTTAAACTGTATTTGGAAGATGTTGTTGCATATGTTGCAGGTTTTGTTGTGAAGAGGCTAAACAAGTCTATAAAATGCCAGAGTTGTTTAGATTTGTTAGAAACTTCAGGAGAGTCTATATCGAAATTACAAATAAGAAAAACGTATGGAAAATTAGTTAAAGCCTCCGCTTTTGTAATAAATGTGTGTAAATATGAAGAACATTGCTTTAGGTTATATAAGGAAAGGTTAGAAGTTGGCAAAAAAAAAATATGACAAGAGCTTCACAAATATTACCAAATTATACTTTGCAAAATTTACCTCTTAGATTCAGAAATGTGTTTAAGGACCATGTATTCGAAGATGAACCTTTAAGTAATCATTTTCCATTGCTCTGTAAACAAGTTTTAGAACAATATTTTACCATTAAGTTGTACCATTATACCTCTAACTTGAATGCCCCTTCAAAACGTGTACGATCATTACTCACAAAAAGTATATTATTTCAAATTCAATAAAACCTGATAATTACAAAAAAATAAAAAGCAAAATTATAAAATGAATTATAAATAATGACTTAGGGAGAGTGACAAGTCCAAAGGAATTGTTTTACTGAAATATGCACTAAATCTCCAAACATAGATTGACTACTATAAAATAATGTATAAACCTACCCCCAATGTTGACTTTAGCTTTTTAGATGTTTTACATCCATGTCTGGTTCAGCATATATCAATACAAGAAGTTTTTGACGCGCTAAATGGCTAAAATGGCTATCAGAGTCTACAGAGTACACTAAATCCCCAAGTATACCGTTATGTATAAAACGATTTATAATCCAACTTAAGCTCCACAATAAATAGTCTCAAAATCTTCCTAAACAATATTTCATACAGGGTTGACCAAACAATATGTAATACTCGAAAGACCGAATCTTTAGGACATCTCCTCCTGGAATGTCCATTATACAATCCATTGAGAGAGCATATTCTGTCAGATCGTTTGAACCAAATCTGTGTCTTTGCTTGCCTAAATAAAACGAATGAGTTGAATTTATGATACAAACTTTTTAAATACTTTAGGGAATTGTTTAAGCTAAGATCTTTCTTAAGGAATGAATAGTTTTTTTGTGCTTACAATATCAAGACAGAATATTTAAATTGATGCGTCAATTATTTATTCTTTTTCTGTTTGTTTATATATTTTTTTATATACAACTTTTGATCATGGTTACTATTTTTTTTGTATTCATACTCTGGACAGGAAAGTTTCTACTCAATTCTTATTATTTACATAATACTCTCTCTCTTGTTTATATACCTTTGTACTAGGTACTATGAAACAATAAACCTGATAATTAAGTTCCAATAATAAAACCTTGTTTACTTCTCTGTGTTTATTCTTTTCACTGCCATGGAAGGTGATACTGGGTGTATTAACCAGAACACCATTACAAAAAAAGCACCTACGCCACTGGTGGAATCAGCTGTGGTGTCTGCACATACACAGCTTATTGTTTGTATTTGTTTTGAATTGGGTTTGTTTGTCTTCATGCATTACAGTGCCGTAAGAATGGTAAGTCTATTTATATTTTTAGTCTGAGGGTATTTTATTTAAACTATTTTTAAAGCAAGGTAAACATTCCTGGACTGAGCGCCTGGAGCACTTGATATACCTCATCGTCTTATGCTATGACTAATCCAAGCCGTCCGAAATAACAGTCAACGTTTCTAGATGTGAAACTTTTTTATCTTTTTTGGCAATGAATGTTAACAATTCCCTGTAATTTTCTCTATTGTCAGAGTCATTCACTTCAAAATGAACGGTAATTCCTGTTTTGCCAAACAACAACATACGGTATCTAGAAGTGTGCTGCCTAAAAGCTGGGTTAAGACAACTTTCGATTATTTTTTTGCCAAACTGAATTAAATTGGCTACACATCTCAGATGTCTTCTCCGAAATTTCATGTCTCCTCTTTAGAGCCCTAAAACTATTTAAATCGTTGACTCCGCTGCTGGTCTACCCATTTTTTTTGTATAAAATAGAAGACATCGCCAACAATACAATATGTTTTTTTGCAACCAAATAACCAAGAGTTTCTATATACCAACTTAATTTAAAATATCAAATTATTTATATATATAATATACAGGGTGACTTCGAAGTTGAGTCATTTATTTTAACAGTGAGTAGACCTGATCAAAATAAATGTTTTTTTCCTTTAACATTTTTCTTATATTTAGAAGTTCGAGTACCGCCCTGTCTCAATAATAATATTATGTGCTCGTGTTTGGCAACAACGGATATAATCCGCCTTATCCGTTCATCGCATCGGAAACAAAAAAGCGAAAGAATTTGAAACGATGTTTTTACTACAATGTACAATCTTATTCAGTTGTACTCAGTCGATGTGTCAGTCGGTAACACGTGAGTGAATAGTGGTGTTTGTTGCGTGGCTCAAACGAAATAAAAAATGGCACATGTTTACGAAAATGCTGAATGTAGTACAAAGGGCTCGTGAATCAGGTGACTTAAGACCTCACAGGGGAGGGCATGCCGGTGCTCCAAGACCGCACGATCAAATACAGGTCCGCACTGAAATACTTGTCGGGAGGATACTTTATAAAACAAGGTAACATTTTTTTTTATTTTCTTTTTTATTTTTACACACATATTTTGGTTTATCTTCCTTCTACAATCATTATCTGAAAATTAATGACGCAACTTCAAAGTCACCCTGTATATATTATTTTTTATTTCTATTTAAAATCATCTAAAATAGTTGTTGGTCTTCCATTTTCAATGATCTCTTTTTTTTCTTAAAAATTATACAAGCAGAATGACTTTTCAAGTAGTTGATCGATTACGCAGCGACCCTCATCCATGTTTAATTGCACGCACACTACAGCCAGTAACCAAAACGGCTACTAACGAGTGAGAAGTGATTAACCAAATCAAAAAATGGTAACAAGCACACATAATAGTCGCAGCGCCCCACGCAGTCGGGCGACCGCGATCAGACACGAGCCGGTACCGACGGTCCCCGACGGACTACCAAGTGTATCCATCAATGAAAATGGTAACAACCGACAACCAAGTCGAGGCGAGTCAGCTTCATCGTGTTTGCAAAACCTAGACATTATAGGGCGCATTATTTTCGTGGGGCTAATTTGCTATTTACTGAATTACTATTACACATCGCTGTTGGTAAACAAATAAATGAAATTATTTCACAGTAATTAGTCATAAAATATTTATTTTTAAGATTTTTAACTGTTACCAATGGTAACAATGGTTACATGGACGCTTCGCCACTGCTAGTGTTATTAATATTATATCTTCGTTTTTGAAAGGTCCCTTTATTTCAAGAGTTGATTTACTTTCCTAAGAAATTAACGCACCACAAAAAAACTGTTGTGCTGCCTAAGGCTTTTTTGTGTATGAAGTATTGTAAGTTAGTGTATTTTCGGTATTTTTAGAGGTATTGTTTTTTAACTATTTAAGAACCTCTACATGTTCGTCACTGTACAATTCAGTAACTACAACCTTAAGTTAAAATTGAATCTCTTCTTTGACATTATACTTGTGTCTTTTATTGATTTCTTATAACGAAAAATATATTCAATGATATTCGAAAAGATATATTCGAAGGTTAGAATCTGTGCGATGTAATAGCTTTCGGAAACGCCGAATTATAAGTTTCTGATTCTTTGGGAGGAGGTTACAAAAGAAACAAATCAAAACTGCTGGATGCCATAGAATTAAACCTGAGTTATCCGTATGGGTGAAGGTTTTGAAAAGCAAGAACGTCAGTAAAATGCGCGTATACCGGGTACAAACAGAGTACTCAATGCATCCCTATAGGTATATAAAACAACTTCAGATATTTTTAAATGGTTTTTTCTTTGACGAGTAATTCTTAACAGCAAATATATCTCGAAGGATGAAAAACATGTGGTAATACCACAAATTTCAAGCTACATATAGAACCAAAACATCCAATCTCGTTCAGGCTAACCAAGTAGCATCAATTATGGACTCTTTGTATTAAAGGGTCCAATGTATCGGTTTTATAATCGAGAGACTGTCCTTTTTCGTCATTACTCTATATGTACAATTTCTTTTGTTTATGATGTTTATTCATGACGAAATAAATATTTTGAATTTGAATTTGAATTATAAAATTTTATAAAGGTTGTGAGGGGCGTTATAACGACAAGCTACTGAAACCTGTAAAATTAGTTCAATGGCAGTAAAAATAATTTTCATATCAGTTTAACGTTTTAAAACCTCAACATTCTTTTATTTAGCTTGAAGTAGGATGTCTCAACAATACAATCTGGAGAAACAAATACCTCACAACGGAAACGAAAACTAGAATATATAAATCAACAATAAGACCGATAATGACGTACACAGAGGAGACAAGAGCAGATACGGCGAAAACACAAAGTTTATTAGAAACAGCAGAAATGAAAGTCTTACGAAAAATAACAAACCAAACTGTAAGAGACAGAGTAAGAAGTGAGGAAATACGAGCGAGATGTGGTATAGAGGAAATTAACCTGTGCACCAAAAGAAGAAAAATAGAATGGAATCAACACATAGAAAGAATAACAGAAAATAGAACAGTACGAATAGCAAGAGACAACTCGCCAAATGGAGGAAGATCAATGGGACGACCGAGGAAAAGATTGTCAGACAACATCAATTGAGGCTAAAAACCGAAGTAAAACAGGCATGAGCCTATTAATAAAGTAGGAAGAAGCTTGAAGTTGGACCATCAAATCTGTTGATTCAAATTTCACCACCTTTCTGTTAACCGATTTGTTGGAGACTTGGCATATAGCTTTAGTTCTAGCGATAATACTTTTGTGAATCCTAAATGGCCGCCGCCACAAAATGGAGGATTACATATTTTTCAACAAACTA